ATAAATTTGAAAAATAATAAAAAAAGAAATAAAAGAATAATATAATATTTTTTATTAAATGTAAAATATTATATTAATAGCCTAAAAATTGTTTATTAAAATAAAACTACCAATTATAAGGTTTTATTTAATATAAAACTTAATAAATTAAAAAAAAAAAAAAAAGATTTCTTTTATAAACTATTTTAATAATATAGCTAACGTATAAATAAGATAAGTATAATAGCTTATTTAATAACTTATATAAACTATTATAGTAATGATATTTATCATAAATAAATTATTATAATAAAATTTTATTTATAAATTTATATTTATATAAAAGTTTTTATATTTACAATATTAATAAAAAAATTATTATATTTAAATTATAAAATATTATTATTTTTTAAATTATTATTAACAAATAATTTAAAAAAATTAAAATTATAAATATAATTTATTATTTTAATTTTATTTATAATTTTATTTTAATTTTATAGTTTATTTAAAAAAATATTAAATTTTTATTTTAATAAAATTTAACATATAATATTAAAAATAAAAAAGTATTTTTAATAATAATTAAAATAAATGGTTTATATATAATTAATTAAAAAAATAATAATTTTAATATAATAAGTTTTAATATGGCTTTTTATTTTTATTTTATTTTTAATTTAACTTTAAAAATATAATATAAAAAATTAAATTATTTAAATGATTAAAATCTTAAAAAATTAATAAATATATTTACAAGTATTAAACTTTTAAAAAAATATTATTTTTATAAAATTTATATAAAAAATAAAATAAATAAAAAGTTTTATATAAATATATTAAACAAGTGTAATGTTATTAAGCCCGGTTATAAAGTATTTTATTACGTAATTTTAACCTTATAAATTATATAAAAGTTTTAAAATCATTTTATTTCTTTGATTAAAAATATATACACTTTCATTTTAAATTATCTTTTAATTAACAGTTATTTTAACCTTTAATTTATATCGATTTTATTTTATTACCTTTTGTTCCTCGATTATTAATTAATTAAATTCGTATTTATAAGTTAAAGTATAACGCTATCATTAACGGCTTAAAGCCTTTTATAAAAATCAAGTTGTTAAAGTAATAAACCATACTTTGCAAAAGTCTTTACCTTTTGTTTAATATTAAAATAAAATATTTATAAATTAAAATTATTATATTTAAATAAAATAAATATATTTATAAATATTATAAACGTTAATGGTAATAAAAGTTAATTAATTATTATATGCAATTATTTATATATAATATAAATTATATTATTAAAAAATTTTAAAAATTAATTATTAACATTTAAAAATTTTTTAAAATAATGGAAAAATTTAAACGCCGTTATTATATTATTATTTTAAATATTTTAAATATATATACAAGTAATAAATTCAAATAATATTATTAATAAAAAAGCATAATTATTTAATATATAATTATAAAATAATTATAATTTAAAAATTTTATTAAAAATATTATAAATAAATTAAAAAATAAAATTAAAATAATATTAATATAAATATATAATAATAATATATTTAATAAATATTAATTTATTATTATATAAATAATAATATATTTAATAAATAAATTATTTTATAACGTTTTAAATAAAACCTTTTATAAAATTTAATATAGTAATTTTTTAAATTTAACTTATTTAATTATAATTAAAATTAATAATTATTATTTAAAAAACTAAAAGTTAAATATATTTTAAAATAAAATTATAATATATAAAATATTAAAATACGAAAATAATAATATATATATTTATAAGGTATTATTAATAAATTTTAATAAAATTACTAACGTTAATAACGTTATATTTAAAGAAAAATACTTATATATATTTATTAAAGATTTTATAACGTTAAAAAAACGTTTAAAATTATTATCGTTATTACTTTTATATTTGCCAATAAATTAATTAAAATTAATTAAATTTACTTAAAAATTATTTTATATTTACTTCATTTTTACAATAAATTTTATTACGTTTAATTATTATATCTTACATTATTTAAACTTTAATATATAATTTATAATAAAAAAATCTTATAATGTTTTAAATTATAACATACGTTTAAAAACTTTTGTAAATAAAAAAAAATAATAACTTAATTAATACGGAAGTAATTTATTACATAACCCGTTTAAATACAATTTTAAATAACAAATAAACGTTATATTATTTAATAAATATTAATTAAAAATAAATAAAACCTTTTAATATATTATATATTTAATTAATATAATAATAATAATTATTAAATTTAAATTTAAATTATATAAAAAAATTAAACATAACTTTAAATAATATTAATAATATAAAATTATAAATATTAAATATTAATTATTAATAAATAACCATATATAAACATTATATAAATTATTTATAAAACGTAAATTATTATTTAATAAATAATTATATAAAATTAAAAAAAGTTTAAACGGTAAAATTATTTAATATAAAATTAAATAATTAATTAAAAGATTTAAATAAATTAAAAGATTAAATTATACCAATATTTTTACATTAATAATTAAATTTATAAATTATAAAGTCATATTTATTATAATAATAATTTTAAACTTAAAATTAAAATAAATAAATATCGTTACCGTTTTTTTATATAAAAATATAAATAAAAATATTTACGTTAAATAATCCTTTAAATTTAAAAACGGCATAAATAAATATTATAAACTTAATAAAATCTTATACGGTTTAAAATAAGTTTCGTAAATATAATATTAAAATTTAAAACATTTAATTTAAATATAAAAATATTTATTAAAAATTATATTTATATAATAATTTACGTAAATAATTTATTTATTATTAAATCTTTTAAAAATAAAATTTACGAAATTAAAGTTAAATTAATTGAAAAATTTAAAATAATTAATTTAAACTTTTACTTATATTATTTAAAAATGGTTATTAAAAAAAATTACTTTAATAAAATAATTAAATTTAATTAAAAAATATACTTAAAAAAGATTATTAAAAATTTAAACCAATAAAAGTTTAATTTTATTAACACATTTATAAATATTTTAAAAATCTTTAAACCTTTAAATAATTACGCGGTAATTATTATTAATATTAAATAATATATATAAATTATAAAATATTTTATATATATAATAATAAATATACGTTTTAATATTATATATATTATATTATATTTAAATTATTATATAAAAAACCTTATTATAACATATATATTTACGGTTAAAAAAGTTTTAAAATATTTAAAAAAAATTTTAAATTATAAACTTATATATTAAAATAATTTAAAAAATTTTATAAAATAAATAAATATTAATTATATAAAATATATATAATTTAAAAAATTAACTTTAAAATATATTTTTAATATAAATAATAATATCATTAATTAATTATTAAAAAAATAACCGGTAATTATTATTTTTATTTATAAATTTAAATTTAAAAACATAATAAATATTATAAAAAAAGTAATTTAATTACGCCGATTATTAATTAAATTAACTGTTAAAAAAATAAAGTTATTATTATAATTATATATAGCAATAATTAAAAAATATTAACATTTATTAAAAACTTATAATTTTATATATAAATTAAATATATTAAAACTAATGTTTATTTTACCCGTAAAAAATAAATTAATAATAAAATAAATTTCGTATATACTTTTATAATTTAATAAATTGTTAATAATTTTATTAAATTATTATTAAAAAATGCATTTATTAAATTTAAAAAAGTAATAAATTTTCGTTTATAAAATAAATAAAAGATAATAAAAAACAAACGTTTTATAACCGATAAAATAACTTATATTAATACAAAATACGTAATTATAAAATATATAAATATAAAATATAATCAAAAATATTAACCATAATTAAATTTAAATTAAAATATATTTTTAAAACATATTATTAAAAGTTTTAAAATTAACATACCTTAAAAATTATATATAATAATAATAAAATATACTTAAAAATTATATATTTAAACCTTTTATTATTTTAATTATAAAATAAAATTATTTTATAAAAAAAAATTTTTAATAATTAAAATAAATTTATTAAAATAATAATTAAAATTATATACTTTTAAAATATTAATATATAAAAATTAACCGTTATAATTTTAAAAAATTTAAACTTATTTTATTAAAAAAAAATTACCTTTAAAAAACGCAAAAAACTTTATATTATTAATTTAATTAATAATAAATAAATAATAAATTTATAATAAATTTATTTTAAAACATTTAATATTAAAATTTTAAAACATTTATAATAATTATTAAATAACGTATATTAAAACTATATTTTTTATATATATTAATAAATTATATTTTTTTATAATAATTTAAACTAAATAAATTAAATAAATTATATATTTAATCTTTTATTATAAAACTTATTTTATAATTTTATAAAATTAATATTTAAAATCGAAAAAAAAAATTTAAATAAAATTATTTAATATATTTAATAAATAATTAATAAATAATAAATAAAAAAATAAATATTAACATATATTTATAATAATTATCATTAATAACGCCATAAAATTAAAAAACCAAATATTAATATAAAATTATAACTTTATAAAAATAACATTAATTAAAACTTGTTAAAAATAAATATTATAAAAAAAATAACGTTTATTTATAAAATATCTATAAAAATAAAAATATATAAATAAAATTAAAATATAATATAATATTAATGTATTAAACAATAAAAGAAATTACTATCTTTTATTATTATTAAAAAAAATCAAAAAATAGGCACAACTTGGAAATTTATTTTATAAAAGCTTTAATAACCTACGCTTTTGCCAATGTATAAAGTTAAAGCTTTAAAAAAAATACGAGATTATATAAATTTAACTATCATAAAAAAATCTTAAAAATAAACCACAAATATAATTCGAATAAAAATATTAAAATATATAAGGCTAATAAATTAAATAGTTAATAATACGTCTTACACCTGTGGCTTATATATAATAAATATGCCTATCTAGCCTTTCTAATAAATAGCATAATAATACAACACATACATACCTCATAACCTGCGTTTAATTTCAACAATGAGGAACAATTACAATAATAGCGTAAACACATCCTTGACCCTTACTGCAATGTAAACTTAACAACAGTATCAACAACCCTTTCCGTCACTAGTAAAGTGAGAGCGTGGTTTGATTCAAACTCCACTGTTTCGACCGTCTTGCCCTCATTCTCTATAAATTGTACCATACTCCTCTGGTACTCGATAGGAAGGCTGATATCATTGAGCGTGTACATGTAGTAAACCTTGACCTCGTCGCGCCACGCGGGAGTGTTATGGATGGGCATATACATGGACTTCCCATTCCAACGACCGATAGTCTCAATAAATCCCTTGATTTCCTCCGGGTCGACCTGGTCAGAAGGCCCGTCTACTAGGCCCTCCCTCGGGTAGTTCGTTACACAGCTCTGGTCTGAATCGATGCCAAAAGAGACGGGTATGAGATCTAAGTGTCCGAATTCCTCGACTTTATTGATCATGCTCTTGCCCTCGGGCAAGGCAAATGCTGACATGTAGATAAGATGCGAGATGCCACCGGGAAGTCCTTTAGCGGAGCGGGCGGTTTTGCTGAGCCCGTACAACGAGTTAGTGCCCACCTGGCCTCCATAGCTGTGCATTAGAACCGCTATATCCCGGCCAGCTTCGACGAGGCTAGTGGCGTAAGAGCGGACGAGTTCCGAATCAGTGGTTAGATCAGCATTCGGAGGCCGACTTCCGTTCATGGAAGGGAGACGTGGTAAGTGTACTTCAAAGCCAGCAGTGCGAAGGGCTTTGGTGAATTTAATATAACTTTCTGGAATATGGAAGGCACCATGAAGTATCAATAGACTTGGTCTGCTAGTAGATTCCATGGCAAATTGTACGGTAAGGTGAAAACACAGAGTTTTATTGCAATAAGGCAAATGAGAAAATTTCCCGCTTGACGAAGAATGAGGAACAGGAGAAATAATTTAGTGTCTTCCATTTATTCATCCTATTTGTAACCCCTCTTTGTAGTATTGTTATCCCTTACTTCGTTAAAAAATCTTACCTCCCAACAGCCTCAATTATGTAACATTTTCAAGCAGGTTTTAACGTAGTATCAGTTATAAATATGCCAAGTATCATCTTAGAACGGATAGATATCATTAACGATATATATGGGCTTACTCAGTACTAATTCATACTATCTCTCAAGTCCGTTCCCATGTCTTGGCTATATTTTCCCGTCGGCCAGCACCATTTTCAGCCAAACCTAGTAACTAGCATATACAATAAATGCGGCCAAATCCTATATTAAAATGACTATGGAATATGGGAAAGTATTTAAAGAGTTATGGAAACGGAAGATATAGTTTGAAAAATTAAAAGGCAAAATAATACAAGGAATAGAGAGTGAAGGCTAATTATTTCTATACGCCTCAGGTATTACATGGGGAAATATGGAACTATATACTCCCACAGTAGCGCCATGTTTTTAGATCTCTCTGTGCCACCTAGTGTGTCTATGGTCGCTGGTTGTTCTGTGTCCCTAACTTGTCCTATTGGTTGAAGCCGAGTATTGTCATGAGCTGGGAAACTCTAGACACTCTAGAATACGTCTACTGGCAATAAAAACAGGAAACGGATGTTTTGGCCTTCGAGGTACATGTGTATTGCTAGGGAATCCCAGGATAGTAACCCATACTAACCAGGAAAAATAAAGGGGTAACAGACTAAGAAAGCCGAAGTCAGCACGTTCGAAGCTGAATATATGGTACGCTTAACATAAGTCGACAGATAGCGATTTAGCTAGAATCAGAGGCGATATATCATGGCTACTAAGAATATCATTCCACTTCAAGAACAGGTTATCCCCATGCTTAAATAGACCTAGTCATGGTCTGCATGGGACTTTCGGTGAAACTAGTCAAGTCCGGCATCGTAGTAGCTTATTTCACTAACGATCTTGCCAATAAAGTCTATCATTATCCTATAGAGGCTATGCCACCATACACTGAGAGTACATGGTAGCTACCCCAAATATCTTTTCCTACTACAGGGTTATTAGATAACGATCAAAATATTAATATTTCCAATCTCATTTCGTGACGAAATATCATAGGATTTCGAGAGCGAGTTTATAGGAGGACAATTGGATCTAAACGATAACATAGCAGAAAATAAGGCATACTCTGAACGTCGCATAGCATCGCAACGATTTCGTAGACACTTTATTTAAACTAAAGTCCTATGCTGATGATAGTTCTGTATCTCCTGCAAACACGCACAAGCCTAAAAAAGTAACAAATTGCAACGAAATACTGTGTAGTGTAGGGTATACAAAACGCATCTCTTTATTGGCTATTTGTCCAGCCCTGCATAGCGGGCCAACGCAATCCTCCCGCCCCTTATAAATGGTACCAATTGCCAGCATCATATGATATTGCCACATCATCCACCTTATCAAATCAGCCAGCTCACAAGACAACACCTTCAAATAGCTTCTCAACAGAGCCATCTACATACCTAAGCCAAAATGGGCCGCTGGTCATACCTCGACACAGACGAAGAGCGCCTCCCGCACGGCGTCAAGCGCATCGGATACGACGCAGACGACCAGGAGTACACATTTTTCGATACTTCCGACGGCAGCATCTGGGTCGGGGGATACAACGGCCCTACGAAGTGTATATCGAGGCCGGACCAGGTCGCGAGCTCTAGCGACGATAGTAAGGACGAACCGACGACGTATATCCCGACCGAGGAAGTTGAAAAAAGCGGCCCGCAGCCGTCGAGCAGCCCAAATACAAAGGCGTTGCTTAACTCCTTCGTGGCTGTCGGCAGGCTCGCTCGAATCATCGTGGCGCGGAGAGGACCGGGTGCGGATCGCAGGCTAAGCCGTGAAGAGCGGAGGCGAGAGCGTCGTGCCCGTGAGCAAACTAAGGAGGAGCGGCTTCGGGATGAGGAAGGGTTCGGCGAGAAGGGGTTCGAAGGGAAAGAGTTTGACTGAAATAAATTATTCAATGGATCTGTTACTTTAGGAAGTCGGTATGCCTCTCTTATGCTCTTCGAGCTGGTCTCGAAAACTTAACGACATTTTATTTGGACAAACTCGGGGTAAAGGGGCGTAAGCATGTGATTTAAATAAGGCATCAACGCTTTGAATTGGTTATAACTGTAACCATCGTCTTGTTATCCATAAACTCACCGTGAAGAATGCGGATTAGGCCCGTGATAGCACAGTCTGTATGGACATATCGCCTTGTCTAACCACTACTTATAATCCGAAGTCATACGTATTTATGAAGCAAGGGATAAGCCAGGTAGGTAGTCTAATAATCCTTTCTGTGACTTTATTTTTAGATCTAACTTGAGCATTGACATTATTCGTAAAGCGTTACGTCGTCGTTTATATAATCGTGCGTCCAAAGGCTATGTGCGGTGGGATAAGAGCTCACCGCGATAACAGACATGTATCCAATGACAGCGCTTCGCTCATACTATATCTATAGCGTGGGATCAGTACGTGTACTTGAAGCCCTCTATACCCTCAATAAGTATCTTTCCTTGCGAAGCGAGCTTATTCGCAAAGAAGAAGTAGGCCGAGAAAGCGCCCACTATGGCAATGATCAGGATGTGCGACCCAATGGAAACCCACACCGCAGTTAGATAATGCGGTGCCTCCTGAGACCGGACGATGAAACTTCCCGCGATACCGCCCGCACCGTTTAGGGCCGTCACAGCAGCGGCAGTGAATGCGCGCTTCCACTGACCGGCAATGTTATTCGCTTGGTAGGCACTTAGAGCCGCCCAATTGCTCACGTACGCGCCGGTCGCGAGGTAAGTCCCGACGTAGCGCACGGTGACCTGTTCAGAAAAGCCAAGCATGCAGAACCCGACGATCAGAGTGACGCAATTAAAGATGATAACGGGGCCGCGGAGGCGAAATCTGTCGCCGATCATAGAGGACAGGAGAACAGGGATGACTGCATAATAGTAAGGCGGCGCAGATAAAAGGATGGATTGGTTCTCGTCAAATCCCATGCCGTTCTGCAAGATGATAGGCAAAAAGTAAGACAGCGCAGTCGATACTAGGTTCAGTAGGAAGAACATGCACGCGAAGCCGTAGACCTTTGGGTCGCGTGCGTGTACGAAGACCTTGCCCCACGAAAATGGATCCGGCTCGACATCTTTACGGTCGGCATTAATGCGCGCGACGGCGAGTTCCTGCTCCTCCGGTGTGAGGAACCAAAAAGATCGGTGCGCCTCCTCAGGGAAATCCACGATCCAGAAGTACGTCATGAACCCGATGATAATGGAGATCAAGCCCTGCACCAGGAACATGTAACGCCAACCTGCGATGCCACCCTTGCCATCCAGCTGGTTAAGGCCGAAATTGACGATGCCGCCTGTAGCCAGGATAACAACTTCGCCAGTCTGCAAGAAGGCAAAGCGCGTCTGCTGCTCTCTCCTCGGATACCACGTTGAAATCAGATACGTCAAGCCCGGATAAATACCGCTCATAGACATACCGAGGAGCACGCGCAGCGCAATCATCTGTCGCCAAGTCTGAATGAAGGCGGTACACATGGTAATTAGGCCAAAACAGAAAGTAATGAAGGAAAACCATAGACGGGGCCCGAATGTACGCACGGCGAGCGTCGAAGGTAGCTGGAAGGCAATGCTCGATATGGTGAAGATAAAGATGCTAACGCTGAACCGGTTACCCGTGAGGTCCAAGTCCGTCGGCATAGACGTCACCGATGCAGAGCTGATAACGCCGGAATCGAGTAAATTGAGCGAACAGAGTATACCAGCGATAGTGCAGAGTCGCAAGTCGACCTTGAGCCTAAGCCGTCGTTCTAAAGCTCGGCGAGTTGCGACAGTATCTATAACATCTTCCTCCTCCTCTTCCTCTCCGGTGAAGTTGCGCTCAGAAACGACATCTCCGTCATTAGTAATTTTTGACGGAGAGGAATTGCTCTTCCGTTGATCCTCGAAAGGAGGAGTTAGAGACGGAGTTAGAGACGAAGCCATTGCCTAGGCCGTGCATGTGTATAAGGAACGCCGGTGCACAAGCGAGTAATAAGTCTCAAAACCGGCGGCCAACGGAGAGGGCCTTGACTTGGTGTCTTTATCCTTTATCATATAGATATAGACATAGGCCAGGTACCTTACAATAAGAGATTCCATGTAAAAAAGTATTTCCAATGTATACTAAGCAAAAGTGGAGATGCCGATAATATCTTACCAATCAAGGAACTATTCTTTATAGTATTTAGCGTATTTAACCACTCTACCGTTACGTTCCTGCTCTACATAGGTACCTAGGTATGATGATAAAGAGCTTGTCTGCTGGTGAATCATTTCCGTATTAAACGGAAGCCGGGTCTAGAATCTAGACTCAACGAATCGAGCACATTCTACGGATCTATTTACCTATATCGTAGCAAGCAATTGAGGAAAAGCATTGGATAGGGTTGATACTATTATAGTGATTCTTAAACTTTTCTGTGGCATGGATTCCCACCTTGAGTAGAAAGAGGCTGAAATTTGACTATTTTGATTCGCTTAGTTATTGTCATAGCCTTAGACAAGTTAGACAAGATAGCCGCAGCTATTAATGAAGTTGCACAGCAGACTAAGATGAGACACTTGGTATGCCCTAAGTAAGACATAGAATGCCGAATCTTTGTCGGAAAGATTGTATATATCATCTCACCCCGATTATTCGGAGCTCGGGAACCTTCTGATCTCCCAGGACTATTAGCTCGATTAATTTCCGGGAATGCCGAAAATAACGACCGACCAAAACCGTCGTCGCCGAGTTTATAATAAATCTCTCAAATAATGATATGTCCCTGGGATAGCCCTTAGTATAGCACCGCAGGATATTAAAAAAAACCCTAAGATCGAAGATTTCCCAAATGAGAAAAAAAAAAAATCCTACTTTGTCATAGGGTTCAATAACATCCCATACCTCACTCGTCAAACCTGTGCAGTGCTCCCCGTATAATACCCAGATATCCGTCATCGCCGTATGTATAAGCCACCCCTACCCAAAGCCTGATCTTTGAGTTCGCTTCCGGCAGTGCGGACTCCGGCTAGGTGTAGTGGGACACTATCAACTCGCTTCTGCATTTGTGATCTTATTTCGATATATTTATCCTCTATAGTCCTAGTGCTCATTTCCGACTTGACCCTACGAAGAGTCATATCGCACTGCCAATTCTCGCGACTCAGACTTGCCACTGTCGTGCTGATATCTCGTATAGCAGCAGCAGTCATTTCTGCAGGCGACTGGAAGGTATCGGGCTTTGATATGGGTCTTAGGTATGCCATAACCATGACCTCGACATTAGCGTTCAAAAACCTAGCTTCGCCAAAGTCGTGGACAATGTGAACTGCGACCATTTTCTTAGGAACCACCCGAGGCGGTGCGTATGGTGAAGGTCCAATAGTGATGAGGGCTTCATGCCAGTCATATGAAATGTCTTCGTTCCCCTGAAATGGTTGAACAGCAGCCCAACCGATATAAACACCATTGGGACGTAGTAGTAAATCATCCGGTATGCCGGATAGGTTCGCTGTTGGTATTCCGGTTTCGGTTCGGCCTCTGCCAGTTCCTTGGACTACCTTGCTAATGAATCGGATTGGATACGGCTTCTCTGGTCCACTATCGGCACCGACAACCCGAGGAGGTGCCTCCAGCACCCCCTCTGTTTGCAAAGACTCGTAGGCGCTATCCCTTTCTGCGTCAAAGGTCTCTTCTGCAGCGGTAACCCGTTCATTCACCCTAGAGTTTTCGTATGCCATAAGCGCAGCTTCTTGGGCTATTAACCCGGGGCCGTATTTTTCAATCTGGGCCTCTATGACTTCCCTCGCAGGTCCGATGTACTTTTCCACGGTAATTTGGCCTATTACTGACGCTACTTTCAATCCGAGTTCGATAGGCATAGTTGTCAAGCTTGCACCACGCAATACGCTCACATCTGACGACGTACTAGCTATGCGAAAGACGGGCGAGGGACAAAGCGTCTTCTTTGACCCTTCACCGGTGCACATGACAATACGCAAATAGCCATCTTCCGCCGAGGCGGGGATTCGAATAACACACGTTTCGCGGGCTATTTGTTTAGATAAATGCCTATGGGATGTTGCCTTCTTGATAAATTTTTTGATATCCCTTTGCCATGCTCGCTCATCCGTTTCGGGGACTTGAGAAGGAAGAGCTGCGAATGAGGGAGTCACTTCAATCCAGTTTCCCTGCGTGCGTAGAAGAGCACTAGCAGCCATACCCATATTCCCAGAGAACCCCTTTCTCTGTAGCCAGAACGAACGGTCAGCTGGCAGAGGCTTATCTGCAAAAATCGTAATGGCGATACTCGTAGACGGTCCTCGGTAAAGGATCACCCCGGCCGAATGGCGGAGAATGCTATAATGCTTAGTTGATTCGAATGGGTGTGATATAAGCCCACCGGCAAAGTAGATGGTCTCATTGACAGCCGCCTTCCATATCGAATGGCCGAGATTAGAAGTATCTGGTGTTGAGACGCCGGAGTTAAGTGAGATTTCTGAAGGGCTAGAAACAAGGGGAATGGATAATTGCCTTGGAGGGACGGCTGGGGGGGCGGCAGGACTGATATCCAATTTCAATTCCTTGGTTTCAATTGGTAGAACGGGGTGCTGGTGAGGATTTGGCAGTTTAGTTGGTTCTAGATAATCATCAAGGATATCGTCAAGGATATCGCCCGCATACGGGGGAGGTGGTTGTGGATTAACCGATGGGACCGGCTTCCTTTTGATAGTTGTTGTAGATGGCTGATCCATTTGTTCGTTGAGATAATATTATATTATTACTAGAGAGCTGAAAGATAATTCGACATTATGAGAAGGTGGCTAAAGAGGGAATACTAATATGATAGACAGTTGTCTTTTCTGAAATTGATAACTATGCTGTATCCCGTCAAACAAAGAGGTAATCATTAAATAGTTGGTTTTACATAATAATACAGGAGGAAATAGATTCTGTCTTGAATAGAAAAATAAAATATAGTAACAAGTTGAAGAATGTACGGCAATGTCGAATGAGAGAGAAATGGAATTAGAATTAGGGGCTTTTATCGATGCTTTGCCATTGGAAGCTGCTTGGCGACCGCGATAGCTCGGCTTGGTACCTTAGGTACCTAGGAAGGTATGCATCGCACTGTATATAAAACTGTACGGATCCGTACTGAACATATCGGTACTCCACTAGTTCATGTGGGGTGATACATCGGCACTTTGGAGTTTGTTAAGCCGTGATTTGTCGACCTAAGATGTGCATAGAGGTAGTCGTGATCCAGCATTATGGTTCCCTGTAGCTTTGCAGAGGCACTCGCCTATCGCAAGCTATCGACTGCCTAAGCTCAACCTTAGCTTCTCCAACTTCTCTACAGCTTCATTTCATCTCTCTACAGCGTCATCATTCATTACCCACACCCTTTCATCGTACCCTTTCGTTTGTTAACTGAGAATGTAGAGTCATTGGCTTGGCCTCTGGCTTGGTAGCTACTTTACATCTTGGACTCGACACGATAATTCTGATATCATTCAACATGGCATCTATCACCAGTCCACATTCATCGGCGTCCGTCTCTCGCCCTACATCCCAACATGACGTCCCTAGTCCCGTCGGTTCGATACCTGTCGAAATCCTCGTACAGCATCTACTTGATGCCAAACGCTCGCTTAATTCTATGGGCCTGGTCGTACGCGCCGATGGACTCGTTCATTTGGCAAAAGAAGCCCATGAAGAATCTGTAGTTCTCGCCGCGCAGTCGGGGTTCATCCGCGAAGGTATAAATGAGCAGATCCGACTACTACAGCATCTACGACGGAGCATAAATAGAACGTACGACAATGGAAAACGCGAGTTCAAGCAGGTTATCAAAACCCTAGATGCTGCTCACGGTCGACTTGAGGATACCATGAAAATACTACGGGATAGGGTCGTAGATAGCACATTTAGACCACCCGGTGAGGGCAAAAAGAATCTGTTGGATTTCATAGACGAATCGCAGGTTGAAGGAATAAGTGATGCTCTAAAGGAAAACATCCAGTCCTTGCAGGTTCGTACCACGTTACTCATAAGATCTTATTCTATACGAAACCGGTCCTAACCCTTTGCTAGAACATCCAGAAGTCGTTCGACGGTGATTTACTCCGCTTCGATACCGATATGCGCTTACTTAGTAAGACCTTATCCGGCGCTCCATCTTCCCCATCCCCATCCGCTTCGTCTTCAGAGCGTTCGTTACCTCAACTCTTCTCCTCGATGATTGATAACTCCCACGCCATGGCCCAGCTCCTCTCGTCGTTGACGAAGCACTTCGACCTATGTGTAACTGCTGTTAGGACGACGGAAGGTGGCGCAGCCTTAGCTAGGATCAAAGCTGCCGAAGCAATAGACTCTCAAAGCGGTGTGAGCGTGTCGATATCCGGTGTGATCGCAGAGCAAGAGTCGCATATGCCCGAGGACGATCCAATTTCCCCTGAGGATCGTGCTCAGATGCTCGAAGTCGTCATGCAAGATGCATCAGAGGTCGACGATGTGGTTCGAGAACTTAATATACGTTTACAATCCATGGAATCTGATTTCACAACTATTGACGGCCAAAGAAATCGAGTTAAGGCAGTCTACCGCTCAACTATCGACGCGTTTAGAGTCTTGGAGGATATTGGCGCACGACTCTCCAGTTATATTTTGGCTGAGGTGGAATTTCGCGACAGGTGGAACGAGGAACAACTGGCGATACAGGACAAGTTGCGCGAGATGGACGAGTTGCGAATTTTCTACGAAAGTTACTCTAATTCGTACGATGGGCTAGTCCTGGAAGTCGAAAGGCGCAGGGCGTTACAGGAGAAGGTAGTAAGCATATGGAAGAAGGCGAAAGAAAGTGTTGACAAACTTTACGAAAACGACCGCAGGGAGCGGGAACTATTCCGACACGAAGTCGCAGAATATCTACCACACGACCTCTGGCCGGGTATGGATGACGACATGGTCAGATGGGAAATTATGCCCGTCCGCGATGGCAGATCTATTAGGCAAGATGAGATGGCAAATCCACCGAATCTTGAGGGGAGCGTCGTCGAAGCTACAGAGACAAGATATGGTCCAACATCAGACCTATAATATCTAGGCGTAAGATAGGCGAACCAGGTATTTTTCGGGGGCGTTTAAATAGGTTATTGGCTAGGGTTTAGATTCATGTGGTAGGATCACAAGTCCTGTACTTGGATGGCGTTCAGCGCAATTTCATCCCTTTTTGAAGTTTACTAGGTTGTAGGGATGGTAGACTAGGAGGTAGGTAGCCAAGGTCAGCAATACTGAATTTTTAGTTTTGAACTTATGGCTTAGGTGCCTCTTGGATGTCTTTTAGGTTATCCATCTTCTCTAACCACTTCTCGACTATCGGGTACGGATCTAAGCTGATCTGCGTATATGCGTGCTGTCAGACCCACAGCTCAAAGTGCGAGTCGACTGCTGTGATGCCTCCAAGATGCTATCGCCGCCAGTCTTCTTCAGTTGTCCTTCAAGAACGCTGGAACAGCGCTCAGTCTACTCCAGGTAACGCTTCAGCACGTCGTCATTTTAAACTGGATTATAATGTCTAGGTGTATCGTTTAGTTTTTATGTAGGACACCTTGAGGAACTCGAGGGTCGCGGCGAGTTTGATGGGGTTCGGGCCCGTCGCATGAGCGTGGAGGGCATTTGTTTATCCTATTCACCAGTATCTATTACATGGATACGACGTCATATCCAAAACAGCACGTCAAGTCTAATCAACAATGCTGCAGTATAGCCTTAACATCCTCTCATAGTTAGGCGGAGATAGCATTCTAAACAGGCAGTCTTTCTTCCCGGCGCTACTACGATTGGATCACATATGTTTCTATTGGGTCTGGATTGTTGAAATGAGTGGTCAAGGGACTACTTTCAGGTACAGTACATGGTATCTTGGCATGGAATGTATATATAAGAAGGACCTCCCTCCTCACTCATACAGTTGGTAGATTAAGTTAATATACAACTACAGCTCATATACCGTATCTTTCAGCATGGATACAATTACGTTTAGTAATAGACATTGCTAGACATCAATGCGAGATTTGGCAAATGTCGACAAGAAAACAGATTTTGGGATTGATAAGCCTGAATTATGTTATGGTAAACGGGGCAGTTTGAAGACTAGCCCGTATACTTCGTCAACAGTGAGCTTTTACAGTACAGCTGAATAAATGAAATCCGTAAATCATGCTTAAGGCTTCAACGCCAACCATAGCCAGGGATATCAGTATGCTACCAATGCGCCGAAGAATGCCAAAGAAACCCATTGTGCGAAACCATTATAGAAAACCATATGATGCAACGTCTTGCTGGGAATGCGAAAGCGTACACGTATTGATACACCTCAACGCAAACAGTGAGCTCGAGTAGTCTTTCGACTACGAGCACACAACTGCCTCACCTCGAATACACTGGTGCCTGGGGTGCTGGGTATAAAGAGGACCAATCCGCGCAGCGGCGCTGCGATCAGATCGAGATCCGAGGACATTCGGGAATCTCATATGCGGACCTGCTACGAGCCGTCACCCAGCACGACCCAGGCTTCTCCAGTGACGGAGGCTGCGTCTACGATATCTTCCGCGACAGTATCAACATCCGCATTACTCAGAATATCGACGTCCTCCAATAACGCCCAGTCATGCGATTCTTCGTCCTCTCCTTCTGAATCAGAAACCAAATCGGGGAAATCAGCGGCCTCCGGGGCAGCCTTTTCAAATGAAGGTGCTGAGCTCTCCGGGAGCTCGTGGATAACTGAGAGTGTCGCATCCCTGTATGATCGCGTCGAAGCATGGTAATCCTCATGATGGTCTTGAGTTACGGAGATATCTTCCACGGGAGCAAGGATCTCATGAACCTCGGGAACCAAAAAAGGACCGACGTCTATGTCCGAACTTAACAAAGCGTATGAAAGATCTAGGTGTAAATAAGACTGCTCTTTGCGCTGCTTCCTTGCTCGCTTCGCTGGGCGGATTGAGTAGACAGGCTCATCGTGGACGATGGCGTCCAAGCTGAAGTATGAACCACGCGAGTGTTCATCGTCATATAGAAGACCCAACTTATATAAGTCAGAATCATCTTCCACTACGTCGGAGTAGAATCCTTGGGTCTTGGGTTCTCGGAAGGCTTCCTGGCGTTCAAGCCGGGGCTTGCTACGACTGCAGTCGGAAGGCAACGCAAAGTTGGGGTCGGCTGCTAAACGGCGGCTATCCTCATCGTCAAACCCCCATGCTGGATATGAAGGCCGAGGTCTTCGCTGCCGGACGATACGGTTATCGTGAACTCTACTAACCCTAATAGACCGATTGACTTGGTCGTACTTGAAGGCTCGTTTGAAACTTTGTGGTTCTTGTCGACTTCGCCATCTACTGGGTGCAGGACTCAGTCGAGGCACGCGGCGTCGAAAGGGTTGGTCGGTAGGAAGAAGTGATGATGCAACGGTCGTCATGAGGGGCGGTTTATTGGGATATTTATAAGAGTTTTGTATTTGTATTTGTTATTGTATTATTGTAGAACTTAGGAAACACGTAAAGCAAAAGCAATGTCATGAGGTGAAGGACGTAATGGATGCCACGCGCAGGGCGCTGGTAGCGTAAGTATCTCGGTGAAGATTAACAGAAATAGAGAGAGGCAGAAGCTAAGAGAATAGTAAGGTATTTATAAAGTCTACCTTTAGGTGTATGAATCATAAAGGTGTCTAGTTTCAGCCTACTTATGAGAGAGTCATCGAAAGCGATGTCGTTTTTGATGCCATACCCCCGGTTCCCCCGGGCCCCCCTGCTTCGAGGCGTGTAAGACGATTGGCTAGATGGCCGGGTCAAGGTGAGTCACCGGATCCCATTCTCACTTTAGCTTAAACAGCGAGACGGTAATGGATGGCACAGCCTACTAGCAACAAGGCAGAACCACCTCGTTTTAGTAGGTTACTGCAAAATAAATGGCAGTGGGGCCTAGATCTAGGCAGGAAAGGCCTCAAAACTTGTCAGATGAGCAACATGTTGGGTGTATGGTGTCAGACATTTAGGGTGACTTTTGGTTTCAACTCATAGGCAATAGTGTTAGTTATAGCATCATACTAACTCCAACGTAACGACGTTAGATACGCATCCACAGGGCGATAATATAAAGAGTTCCTGAGAAAATTAATATAGATTAGGTAGGTTAGGTATTCTATCAATAACCCACCCTGATGATGATTGAGCTAGGTTGAGATTGAATGTCATAGGCAGCAGGATAAATAAGTCTTGGGTGCAACAAACCATTGATTGTGAATCACTTTAGTTAATGTATCTTTTAGAAGAATAAGTCTTCTACATAATTACATATCGTATTAGCGTCAAGATAAGACCCGGAAAAATCAATCTGGGACTAGCAGTCGCGTCATCTGAAGTAAGATCCACCCCATCAATTAGGTACATTAGGTTCAGGAGTTACGACATCGTACATGACCCTTCTTTTTTTATGCTTCTATAAAATCATTTCTCATCCGAATAAAAACAACCAAATCAGTCAAGTAGAAGTTCGGACGAGGTTATGTCACCTCGAGATACATTGAAAACCTCAATTTTGGACGAGTTCACATATCAAATAGTACTCGCTACCCGGAAGATCGAGAGATTGCCAATGCATGTAATTAATGTGTACATATGAGAGCGACGATCCCGACCGACTTGTCACATTTTAATAAGAAATCCATAAATTCCCTTACGACAGCATCCACACGCTACATTGCCGTCTCTGGATCGCTGCCCCTAGATCTCCGTGAATTTTTAACTGATGTCGAATTCATCCGGTTTTTCGATGCAAAGACATCATTCGTTTACGTCTTTCTCTAGCTCTCCATCTTCGTCTTTTATCTCATATACTCTTCTCCCTGATTGAAAGAATACAAACATCAAACAGATCAAAATGCCTTCTCCGATGACTAAAGCCACGCTGGCCGCGGCCGGTCTATCCAGCGCATCCAACATCCTGGCGCAATTCCTTGAAGCGTACCGAGACGGCCACCCCTTTGTTTTCGATTTCGCCAATTTCCTCCGCTTCGTTGCCGTTACCTTCATTACTGCTCCTCCGAATTACATCTGGCAGCAATTGCTAGAACGCAGCTTTCCTGCATATGAGCGAAAGACATCCATCGGTGATATTGAAAAGCTGGGCATAGACGGAGAGGACGTGCGAGCGCGAGGAAATGTAGAGGAACAAAAGCCTAAGCTGAACTTGCGAAACACGTTCGCTAAATGGTTCATCGACTGTATCACCCTCGGCGCGATTTTTAACACGGTCGCATTCTTCATACTCATGGGTATTTTGAAGAGCCAACCCGTAGCTCAGATCGCGCAGAACATCAGAACCGAGACGATCCCCGTCATCGTTGCCGGATATAAGATCTGGCCGTTCGCCTCCATCATCAGCTTCAGCTGCGTGCCGGTGGAACGACGGATCGTCTTCCTTAATTTTGTGGGACTCTTGTGGGGGATTTACATGAGTCTCGTCGCCTCCAGAGTTTAGAGGCGTTGATCACGATCGACACGTTGACATCAGCATGAGCTGCATGATGTCCACGCGAGACTGTAACGATGTATATTGATCAGTGCGTGTTCCGGCGGCACAGATAGGATTATTACATGGAAGTTGGTGGGACCTTTTGTGTATATTTCATATTCAGGTATGCCAAATCATGCAGTCTGGAAAGCAGTTTTTGTTCCAGTCTCAAGTTTAAACGTACCTACCTATGCATCCTCTTGAGATATCCTCGGTGGTTTCCTTGATGCAGTTAATAAGCTACAATCTTCACCATATCTTGAAGGCGTCGTCCATGGAATCTACAGCTTGGAGACATGATTTAGGTGCCCTAAGTTCAGGTTTGCTAGTGAATCTCGCCCATTTAAAGATGACCTACGAAGTTAGGTAAATAAGAAATTCAACCCATACCTCTGACCATTACAAACCTACTCCTATATCAAATATTATACTTTGTATAGCTAATTTTATGTTGATAGAACCCGTCACCTTACATCACAGTACAAGCTCCATCTTCTCTTTCGTCGCAAAGCTTCAAGATATCTATGTTCTTTAAGAATTTCTGCAGTTTCGGCCAGGCCTCTACAACTTCCTTCTTAATTTCGACTTGGCTGGTGGTCTCGCGAGCTTTGGCCTGCTCGTAGTAATTATTTACGAATTTTCCAAACGGCGAATCCCAGCCGTACATCTGAGGAATATGCTTGCGCAGTTCAAGCATTAAGCCCCAGAAGATAACGCGTGGTTCTAGGCCATATTCGGCAAGTTCGCTTTCCGCCTGCGGGTTCATCGGGCCCGCGAGCATACTGGACATCAATGCTAAGGTCTCTGTGAGAATCAACCGTTCTGGGCAGAAAGGTTGGGGGGAAATGTTCGGCATTATCTCGACGAGGAGCTTGAGCCCTAGCTTGAGCGCCTTGTAAAGACTGCTGGATTCCATGTATACACTAAACAGTCGACGACAAAGCTCGGGCACAGGCTGCCGCGCCCAAGTCCACATTCCTGAGTCGATGCACAGATGAAGGGCCTCCTTAAGGTCTTTTTCTAAGGAGTAGCCGCTCTCAGAAACATCGAAAACCGATGCTTGCATAGCAGCGAGTCTAAGCTGCGCCCTGGATTCATCGGTCCCAGCTAGGAATTTCCCCAGCTCTGCCCTATGACGCTTCACCAGACCATCTGCCACCTTACAGTACTCCTCAGACAATTCCCGCGGCGGCTTCGCAAACATATCTTCAGGGGAAACGGGACACTTTATACACTTGGCGCATTGGCAAGTGAAGTGACAAGCCTCTTTAATATGCGCTTGTCGCACCCAAAATGGATTCGTCGTCTCGGTATATGCCATGAATATCTCTTCGCCTTTCTTAATAGGTTTCAGCGCACGTAGTACCGTGCTTGGCTGGTTGCAGACGCGTACCACGTTCGGGTCGCAGGAATGGTTTGCACTACAGATCAAGGGGTCAAACCCGCGGCCATAGTGGCCGGCGTCGAGCGGAGAGCCTATCTCGAAAGTGTTATACATAACCTACAAATAGATGTCAGCTCAGGGTCACATCATCTCACACTAGTCTTAGGGACACACGTTAAAAATAAGGTCTCGAGCAACAGCTTCCGCATCGTGACCATCGATGGAAGGTTTTCCCGCATACGTCCAAGCCGCGTTAGCAAGCATATAGAAGTCATCGAACTTCTCTCTATCTAACCGACGAATGTCTTCAAGATGGTTGCTATCACCAGCGACTGGCCAGAAATTCAAGATATCAAGTATCTGTTCCCTCTCATCGCCGGTGTTATCCCTGAGGCGGCCAAGGAGCTTGATCACAGCACGTACACCCATAGGCACTTAATAGCGACAGTCAGTATATGATTTAGGTGCTTCTCAGGCAATCGGACGGTAAGATTCTAGCTCTCGGAACAGATATGAAGAAGAAAACCTCGAATACATACAATCTGGACGGGTACTTGGAGCTAAGACATGACATTCGTATTTATGCTCGCGCTTCCAAGCCTTACTCTGGCAATTCTTGGAGCAGTACCCTACTCGGCGGCAACGGGTACATTTCTTAATCTCAATAAGCCCATTCGGTAGCCCCATGGAGGCTGCCTGCATGCGTTCCATAGGATCAGTAGCGCCGCGCTGGAAACACCAGCCGCAAGTATCTTCCATATGATCGGTATCAAGCTCGGCGAGGAGCGGCTGGTCGAGGAACACAACTAGGTCACCCGGGCCAAAGTCTTGGCAGGCGAAGAGGCCGCGCCCGGCTCCGTTGATGGTCGATTTCTTGACCTCCACTTTGTTATTTGCCGACATTGTTTCCGTATAACTACTTTTACCATAAGATAGATGAAGTTGAGACCGAACAGAACATAGAGGTTAGGGGAGCTTTTGCAACTGTCCTCATTATGATGTCAGCTACACCGCAACTCCTGGTGACTCGGTATTCCTACCAGAAGAGTGTTTTAACCCAGTATGAGATGTTTGGTTGTGAAGGTTATATCCTCAAGTGCCAGCGAGACACGGTGGAGTATCTCTTGAAATCTAAGTTAGGTACCTGTTTAATCTGTTCAAAAAGTTCACCATCAATTCTAATTGGACATACCCTACCTGTAGGTTTACTCCACCGTGTCTCGCTGGCACTTGAGGACGTAAGGCTTTTGGTGCTTGGCTAACCAAACCGCCAATAATTTCTAGAATAGCATGCTAAAAATAGGTGGTTCTATTACAAACTATTGAATCATTAATGTAACAAGTTTGAAAATAACGGGACACTCACGAATACAATTCGAAGCAGTGAGGTAGTAATGATTCTAGTTAAACCCTCAAGGGCAATCATTTATGTGCCTCGAGGATATATCAAGATATATTTCCAAAATAATAAAAATGGCAATCTACAAAAAGATACGCTCGCTAGCCTCTACCTGGTCTAAATATCTGGACCATCCAAAATGTAACGACGGCATAATCGTTATCAGGTGTATCATGCTGTGCAACTGATATCACATGTAATCATAAAACGCCTCTCATTAGTCCCAAGAAAACCAAATGCTTGACATCGCTCCTTACCAGCCAAACTTCTCTACCCGAAGTTGAATATCAGCCCCTAATCTAACAGCATCAGCACAAGCATTCCTTGCAGTCCTGTTCAGGCCATCGGGTCCAGAGACTACAAATCCAATCCTACCCTCCGAGGCGGCGGTTAAGTCGGCAACATATCCAGGGATATCCGGTCTGCCTGCTTCAATTGTCGGCTCGGGGATAGTTACATGGACTCCAAACTTCAGTAATTCAGCGATTCTCTCCTCTGGTACCCAGGAACGTTGAGCTCGGGAGTGTATTACCCAGATTAAATGGACCTGTCTCTTCCCGCAATGGCTTGTTACTAAATCCCATGCCATAGGGAAGACGACTGCAATCCCGGATCCGCCAGCGACGAGGACAGCATTCTCGCATGACCTCAGCATATTAAGGGGATCTTGGGACCCATATGGTCCGTCCAGACGAACAGCGACTCTCGAGTTTAAGCGTGCATGGTTTAGAAGGTCAGAAGTGAAGCCGGATTGTACTCTGACTAATAAACTTAACCAAGCATGGCTAGGCGAGCCTGTGGTGTCCGTCGCGGGTGCAGCGGACGCGATCGTAAATGGGTGAGCCTGGAGAGAATGGCTACGGCCGAGTACTGGGACTGAAATAAACACATGGTCGGCTGGGCGCCAGCCATGCCGGATACTTTGTCCCAAGGAACTAAGCCACCCTCGTGCTTTAGATGTAGGTATGTCCCAGTCCATGGAGAGGAGGAATGTCTGGTCATCATCCAATACCGTAAGGTCTGCTGTAAAATTTGCAGATTTCATCCACAAACGCCAGACAAGTCTATCGAGGAGGAAAATGGCCAGCGATGCGAGTACATATGGTCGACTTGTGAAGAAATGCATATATACGAATGCGAGAGCCGCGACTTGTAAGACTACATGCGAGGCCAGGAAGAGCTCATACCACCTTTGCCGAAAACTTCCGAGAGAGGTAAAGTAGAGCAACTCATATGACACCCACGCCCCAATACCCCAAAGGCATAAAGGGTGGGTAATATAGGCGTAGAAGCTACCACTCCTCAGCCAAGGAGGCTCAAGAACAAGCCGCCAAAGAAGCATTCCAAAGAAGTGGACTATTGCTTCGAAGCACATGAGCTCGCCAACGCGGCGATGGTAAATGTTGAGGGCTTCATAAGAGTGTCCTGTAAGGAATCTAAGCGGTTGGTTTTTGGCGGCGAGGAGGTAGAGAAGAGGTAAATTGACGATGAATATTATACCAGCTCGATCGGCGAAAGCAAAAAAGTACTTTGGATCTAAGGGGACCTGGTAGAAGTGGTAGAAAGCATTAAGGCCCAGAAAGGCCAAAACGAAAAGAGACGTCCCATTTGATGGCAAGGTCCGATTAATCAATGGGATCGGCCGAGGTTGGTACATCAACAGGGACTGCAAACGCTTAACGACATGATTTCCCCATCCAACCGACGGAGACTGGCGCCGTCTAGATCCAAGGAGAGGTTGCCTCTCAACGTCGGTTTCGACAGCTTTCAGTGTAATTTGGGATGATAACGAGCCCTGTAGAGTACTACTAGAAGACGACTCGGCCTCGTTCGCAGCCTCGGAATCGTCGGCCGTTTTTCTGGTAGAGCCTTGCTCGAGTTTTCGCCATTTTGACTTCTCTCGTATTCTCTCGTTTATGTGAAGTAAGGTAAATATCAAAAGCACTATTAATAAAACAATGTTGTAGGTATAAATGATAGTGCGACCGTCGAGGATGTAGGCAATTAGGTCTCGTAAATACTCGAGCCTTTCGGGATCGATCGGAATCTTTCTCACCGGAGGGGTATCTTTAAATAGAACAGAAACTTCATCTAGGCCGGGAGGAAGACGCGATGTCCTCAGGCTTTCCCTGAAGATATTAAGAACCCAGTCCGTATCAACTTGGTTGACGGACATCGTTCCTTGTTAGGTGGTGTTTAGTGTAAGATTTAATTAACAGGGGGGTTTCGACGCAGCAAGATCTTATCAGATTGATAAAGATTCAGCTAATCCCTAAAACTGCGACATCGGGCACATGACAGCGTGGGGGGCTGGGGGGTTGTCAGCGGATCTAATGCAATAGCTTGGCTGTCACATGCAATTATCGTGCACGGATCAAGAGTGACTTGACTTTTAGACACATTCAGGGGTCATGAAATATTAACATTTTCCAAACTGATTCAAAAATAGATAACACTCTGTTGTTATTCAATAGAGCCCATTATTAGAAGTTATTGAGACGAATTAATCTTTATTTGTTAACTGGCTTCAACAATCTAAATCGATTCAAGTTAGGTACCTAGGTTAGGTACCCGATGTAACCTGCATTTTGAGTTACGCCAGCTGCCGCTCTTCATCACTCTTGTAAAGATTCAAATCACAAATTAAGAAACATAGTATCAAATTTTGCGAAATCATAAATTATGAGAATACTTCATTACTTGAAAAGGGGTTTCAGCCAAAGCGATATCTTTGCTCAACCTAGTCAAAACTTCCGCGGATCTTATAAAAGGTAGCTAAGGTCCCGTAAGGATGCTAAATGAGAAGCCTAGAGTAAACAATATTCTTAATATTCAAAACTCGACTTTCACAACTTAGAATTGGAAGTTATTTCCACGTCTTCTAAGTTCATCACACAATATTCTACTACCTACATCCAGTATGACAAAACGTCATGTATTAAGTCTATCTAACAAGTCTACGATGCAAACTAGGTAACATGAATAGGAAGGCAATCCCCAGACAGTAGTTCCGAACTCACAGAATGGTTAGACACTATTATAATTATAATTCATTAAGTAATTCGGATCTTCTGGAGTTGTATAAATGATCCCGAGGTTATCCAGTGATACTTTACAGGGTGAGCAGCCGCCAGCTCCCAAGACACCCCGTCTCCTTTCGATGTCGCAACATGAACCCTCTTACAAGACGGCGGTGACCGACGTCACTGGCACCTCAAACGAGGTGGCGCTGGCGGGGAACTCAATGGAGCCGGAGGCATTGTATCGGGCCTCGCCCTCGTTCCAGATGTGGAAGATCGAGAGCTTAACGAGGTCATCCGCCGAGGGTACTTCCCACACAGACTCCACGTACGAGCCAGCAGCCAGATCAGTTACGGCCTCGCAGTTAGGAGTGCCATTTTGCTCCTGTAATGTGAGTTAATACTTGTAACTTACAGCTACATGGCTAAGAACTCTAAGAAATGCCTCCTGTAAAGGATCTCGGATAGATAAGAAGTAATTATTCCGAATACAAGATAGCAAGAAATTGAAGGAAAATGGTTAAAACATACAGCAGAGAGAGGGTGGCAGATGGCACTGAATGCCGGAGCACCTTGTACGTATTCCGCGAGGGCGTTGATGTTGAAAACTGCTATGCAGCCACCCTATAGGTTTATTAGCAGAGGTTAATAGGGGTCAGGTACTTATTATATAAAGCAACCCCGCATACTGCCCATTTAGTACGACCCTTCCTGCCCTTTACCACCATCGAGAACTACAAAACTCACGAAAATCAGACCTGGTTTAGGTTACAAGTTCCCGCGCCGAAACCACCACTCTCTCCGAACATGCCTAAACAAAAACCCAGGAAAGTGCTTTGCGATTGCGGCAAACGATTCATAGACTCTCAATCTCGGTCGCGGCACACTCGTAACTCTCCGCTCCACCAGCAACCCGTAACAGCTGCAGCGGATACCGACGCAACTCCTGCTCTAGCAGGAGAATCGGACGAGACTCAGGAACTCTCCACAGGTAAGGAAATTGAGTCGGTAGGCAGACTCTATACTATCAAGGCGATAGCTGGAAAGGGAAAGGGGCTCGTTGCTGCAACCAAGATTCTCAAGGGCACGCGCATACTATCAGAGGTTCCTATGTTCAGAGTTCCGCGGGATAATCCCGACATCGAGGCTTTAGAGCGTATCGTTGCAAAGGAGGTAGAGTGCCTCAATAAGGACCAACAACGTACTTTCTTTGACCTAAGAAACGTCCACGGAAATGCTTACAGTCGATCTCTCGGAATTGCCAAAACCAACGTCCTCCCTCTTGGCTCCAAGGCCAGGTTCGGCGGTTTGTTCCCCGAGGCCTCTCGCATCAATCACTCTTGCAGGCACAACTCTCAGAATACCTGGAATGAGAACATTGGGCGGCTCACCATCCATGCACTCCGAGACATTGAAGAGGGAGAAGAAATTACAATTACGTATCTGGCGATCACGTCGGAGTATGCAGACCGGCAGCGTTTTCTGAAGGAAAAGTTCAAGTTCGACTGCAAATGCGAGCTCTGCTCACTGCCCCGAGCCCAGCGAAAGCGTAGTGACGCCCGGCTAAAGGAAATTCAAACCATTGATAGCTCGATTGGATACTTTTTTTGGGGTGGCTTGGAGTCGGAGAGGGCGCTCCATCTTTTACATAAGATGTTTGGTTTATTTGAAAAAGAGAATATCTGGGATGCGAGTATCGCTCGGGCATACAAGGATGCATACGACATTGCCATTGAGAGCGGAGATAAACCAAGGGCTCGGGTTTTCGCCGAAAGAACGTACGACGCACGACGTCTGATTGAAGGGGATGACAGCCCGGTCACGATGAGGATGAAGCGGATAGCTGAAGGACTCTCTGCAGAGGCACAAGGGCTGAGTGGACTTGATTTTGAGAATTGGCTTTGGATGCTACCTTCGTAGAGCTAGGTCAACGTGAGATGAGTGTCAAACTGTCCTCAACAGAGGAGTACAGACATCAAGATAGACAGAGAGATAAGAGATCTTCAATTTTTAATCTAACTTAGCTTTTCTCGCTGACAATATCTCGCTGACAAAGGAAACCGTGAGGGAATTTCCTTAACCTAGAGGTTACATGACATTTCCTTGTGTGTACCTTGAAAGCATTGTGCTTCCCTGCCCGACGATTGCCAAGGTACGGAGATCCGAACGAACCAAGGGCAGGGCGGGCAACGCTGAAGAAACGCCAACATTGGGCAGCACTCAGGGTGCGTAGCTTCATTTAGGTACACATGAGCACCTGGGCATCCACTCTGCCTTGAGGAACGAAGAGACGAAAAGGCTCTTATGCTGGCTTCGCTATCCGTTGCTGTATAGTAGAGTCAATGTCAGTCTTCTTCCGGTTTTGACATGATGGGTTGTATCGGACTTTGGCGTCCCTCTACGGGGCTTGCTCTGCAACCCTTATGCTATGCCCTGTGACAGCTGAGGGCTGATGCCTGGTATCGTCGTGCCCGCTAATGTGCTTCGTTGTGCTCACCATCGTTGTGCTCACCATCGTTATGCCCGTCATCATTGTGCCCGTCATCATTGTGCCCGCGGTTGCGCTCTTCATTGTGCCCTTGCTTTAGTATCCAGTTCATAAAAGCTTAGTCGGAATAGTACAAGTAGTAGTCACAATCGTCGATAATGTCCCTGCAGCTGGTCGGGCCGTCGTCAATCCAGTCGTCGTCAACCCAGTCGTTGTCAATCCAGCCGTCGTCTTCATCGAAGTCATCACGAGAAGGAGGGACGCCACTCCACTTATCCAAAGTCCTATTCTGGTCTTCGCTCCACGGAGCTAACGTCCTACCTGGGCCGTGGGGCTGGTACTCCGGTTTCTGAGACGCCTCGACGCGCTTCTTGGTTTCCTTGTTAACCAAGTCTCGCCACCTATTTGTATTCGACCGGAATCTCCTCCACAATTGAGGAAGATACTGGACATCACCAACACAGTAAGAGATGATTTCGGTTGGGATTGGGCGCTGTTCGAAAACCTTGTAGGAACCGCCAGATTCAGCCTTGAACGATTGCCCTACTTTCTCTTTTACCAGCTTCCAGCTCCTTAGGTCGCTGCCATGCAGCACACTTTTCTCAATACACTTGGCTAGGCCGTTCAAATACTTTCTGGAACTCGTGGTCGTCCTCGTAGCGCTCTCCATAAGCTGAACATCCTCCACCCCTTGTAGTGCCACGCCAAAATGTGCAAATAAAGCATCCGAATCGTTACGAACGTCGAAAAAGACCTTCGGGATCTTTTCGTCTTGAAGGATATCCTTTAGCGTCTTCCCTTTGATGCCAGTGGTGTTGAACGCTTGTGAACCTAGCGAATATACATCGATAAGACAGACGCGTTTGGTCGGGATACCTGTATCGATCAAAAGGGTGAGGATGGAAAGTGAGCCCTCACGGCAGAGGTTTACGCCTTCGAGATCGATGTACATGGTTGGCTCGTACGGCTCTGGCGGTGAATGGCGCAAGATGAGCCAGTCGACTAGATCGCCGACTTGCTTCGTCGTGTTGATAATCTCTGTCTTGATGTTCCTCATACTTATGGCAAGTGGTTTCCAACGTTTTCCCAGACCGTCTTGGGGCCACCTTTTTGCTGATAAAATAGTTGTTGCCGTTACTGGTAGAAGGAGCGGATTCCCCTTGGATACCAGGACTTCAAATCGTTCAGGATTATTGCTCTGGGCAGAACGCAGAACCGTTTTGAAAGGAAAGAAGGGTTCGATTTCGTGCACAGGCAGTCGACGGTACAGGCCACTAGGATCTTTAATGTTATTTAGTAAAGATGTTACTTAAAAGAGCAAGGTATCAAGACACTCGAAATATTATGGTAAGATACAGTTATAAATATGTCTCGTGTTTTCGGGAAGACTTTTATCATCCAAAATTACCGGTTTAAATAAAGATCATACTAGAATCTTCGAATAGGTTTGTAATTTGCCATACAAATAAGAGAGTACGATACTTATTAACTGCTTCAAGTAACATCTCCATTAAATAGCCTTCAACATCCTAGGGACCTGTAGAGGAATCACCAAAAGTTGGTCGCGAGAGAAAACGGCCGATTTTGGCGGTTGGCGCACAGGGCAAAATCGGCCACATTTTGCTCCGCGTGCAGCTCGGAGATAAACCTTTTTGACGGAGGCTTACTGTAACTCCGATGCAGTTGATCAGGGGATCCTTGATCGCCGACATGACACGCCCCTACCGCCACGAGACTGACAATGACTTCTCCGCATCGTGGTGAGGCTCGGAAATCCAGATCCAACCATTCTACGAGTTTGGAAGGCGAAAAGAGCTCGAGTGGTGTTGCGGGTCGAAGGGTCCTATTTCACTATACTTTATTTAGTAAGAGGAGGCTCTCCACAAACCAGGGGGGGGGGGGCATGGAGTATGTAACTACGAGAGTTTACGTCTATAACTACATAAGGTACTGAACATGTCCTTTGTTCTAGATGTCTCATCTAGAATCCTGACAGGGTATTTACTCTTCGGTCTCCCCAAAGGCGATACTATTACGACCGCCAAAGCTCTAATTTCATCTGAAGGTAAAAGCAAACTAGCAACATACTATCTATCCATCAGATTTACAGATCCTATCGATCACCTCGTAAAAGCACAAGCCCTAGAGTTCTGCAGTCTACACTTTTGGTGATCGCCAACGATTCTGCTATATAGCATCTTTAGTAGTACCACTCTACTTAAAACCACCCGAAAGAGAGATAGTGCCGCGAAAAAAATGGCGTTCTTGGAACCGCTAGACCTCCTTGCATGTCTAGAGGTTCTTGATTTATATGAGATGGAAGGAAGTTGACTGTGCAATGCCGTGGGTGTTAAGATTTTAGATGAGACACCTAGAACAAAGGAAACCAATATGTATAACTCTCTTTGATATATTCTTATGCATTCTCTTCCTGGTAGGCCTCGAGGGCGCATTCCGTTGTCGTTAGAAATGATTCTTCACTTAATCAATGGCTCGGGAAAACATAACCTACGTGATTATCTTAGTGATCAACCAGCCGCAGAAGGCCTTGCCTAGTATACAACACTCGGGCTGACAGCCGTGATGTGCGAGGCGATTCGTAATTTGAGTGGTTCTCCTTACAGCTGGCTATGCAGAACGTCTTACTTGTCTCGAGACATTCATTCGACTGCGTGCTCCTAGGAATATCTTCATATGTACTCAATCTAAAGGCCAAAGGAGTAGCTTTCTCTATTTATGTCTATCGTATGTAGATCAATAATACCATTCTACCCCGTTGTTTCGCCGGGAGTAGGCTTGGTGATTTTACAATGAATGGAAATGGAATCGACACTGCATTTGTATACTATGGTTTTAAGGCTCGTATGTAATTTTGGGCAGAGAAATATCTTTGTTTCTACGAACTAATTAATAGTCTGATGAAAGTAGGTCTATCTATGAGAAAGCCGAACCGTGTGCTTGTATACTTCACCATTGTAACTAATACGGTAAATCCGATATGAAAGGTCATTGCCGTTCTGATAGTTTAGTAAGATCCTTATTAAGACATCCGTTGCGGATGAAGATAGAGCCTCCGCGAAGGAATTAATGATATCTTGACGGCGATTAGCGCATTTGTGAGGCTACCCCTTTTTTACCGACCTGATGTAATGTCCACTAGTGCCGAATGTCCATTTGATAGTGTGGTAAGCCATTTTACAATTTTGCTTTATTAAAGGGGTTGATTTTATACTGGACGAACTCGGGAAACGATACGGGCACTTACACGATACGTTTTACTTGTTGAAATAACTTAAGTAATTAACTTTTATAATTATAATATTAGTAAATTAGTTGTTAAAAAGTTGTGATTTTGCGTGATTAAGTTATGACGTTTTAATATGTTAAAATAAAAGTTTATAATAAAAGCTTGTAATATTAAAACAAATGTATGTGTAAAGTTTTGTTTTATGTAAAATTTAATAAATTAAAAAAAAAAAAAAGAATTTCTCTCGTGGGTTATTTTAATAATATGGTTAATGTACAAATAAAATAAATATAATAACTTATTTAATAATTTATATAAATTATTATAATAATAATGTTTATTATTATTTTAAGTAATTTTAAACTTAAATTCGTTTTATATAAACGGGTTATGTTTATTTACGTTTATTAACGTTATAAACGCCACGTAACGCATGGCCCGTATAATTATATTTATAAGTTATAAATAAAACGTTTTACAAATTTAAATTTAAAGTTATTTTAAACTTATAAAAAATATTTGGTATAAAATTATTAATAAAAAATAAAAAATAACATTTTTAACAATTTAATAAATTATAATAATGTATAAAATAACTTTTATTATAATAACTTAATTTTAATATTAAAATTTTTTTTTTTTTTAATTTTTTTTTATATTTATATAACGTTATATTATTATATATTAAATTTTAATGTTAAAAAAAATATTTAACATAAAAATGGTAAAAAATTAATATAATTAATAATATAATTAATAAATTAATTAATAATATAATTAATATTATATATATATATAAAATGTTTTTTATTATAATTAATTTAATAATATTATTATTTAAGCTTTTTTTTTATATATTTATATAACTTTAAATATTATGTTTTAACGCGTATTATAATACATTACGTTATAATTAATACGTTATAACCGATACGTTATAACCGATACGTTATAATTAATGTAATTGGTGTTATAATTAATATTATAATTAATTTTAATTTAAAATATATATACTTAATTAATAAATTTAATAATAAAGTTAATAATAATTATATAATTTATTATTTATTATAAAAATACGTTAACATTATAATAATTATAATAATAATTTTAATAATTTTTTATGCCATAAATTTAATTTTTAAAAAAACGGGTTTTAATAAAACTTTAAATTAAAAATTTAATATTATTTTAAAAAGTTGTTCCGGGGTTATAATTGGTTAAAAAGTGGTGTGGTTAAAAAGGTATAATTTTTTAAACCAATTCGAATTTTTGGTTTAAAATTACTTAAAATAATTACGACGGTGTAATTGGTAATTATATTAATAATAATATTATTAATTTAATATTTAATTTTATTTTAACGTTTATTTTTAATATTTTTTTTATTAATTTTTATTTTTTATTTTTATTTTTATTAATTTTTTTATGTAATTTTAATTTTTCCAATATTAATTTATTTATTTTATTAAATTAATCGATTAATTTTATTATATTTTATATTAATAATTTTTTAACATATTATTAATTATATATTAAAATATATCTTTTTTATTATATAAAATATTTTAATATTAATATACTTTATTTATTTATTTACCTTTTTAAAAAATTTTTAATTTTATAAAATAATTATTTATTATTATTACTTTTAATTATAACGCATTTAATTTAAGGTTTTTATTTATTATATAAATTTATTTTTTATAAAATTTTATAAAATTAAATTATTAATATAATTTTATATATTTTTTAATAATTAAAAATATTTAATTTATATATTAAATTTTTAATATACTTTAATATTATTAATAAATTAACCCGTTAAATAAACTATTTTTTTAAAAGTTTTTTTAAAAAATTATATCTTTTATATAACTTAAAATATATCGTATTTTTAACTTTTTAATTAATTAATTTATAAATTTTATTATATTTTATTTTTACGTTAATTACAATAAAATTTATTATAACTTTCGTTTTTTTTAATATAATTCTTTTAAAATATTAAAATTAATAAAATTATTTAATAATTCCATTATTAAAATTATAATTTTTAATTTAAACTTATATATAACTTCGTTTAAATTATATTATAACATTAATAATTTTATATTATTAAAATTATATTATAAAATTAAAATAATATTAATTTATAATTTTTAAAATATAACATAATAATATTTTATAATTATTTTAATATTTTGGTTTTTTTTTAATTTATTTATTTATTTATAAATAATAATTAATTAATATTATTAATTTTATTTTTAATTTTATAAATAAAATTTATTAAAATTTTAACATAAATTTTAAATTTTTATTAAATATTACTTTTATAAATAATCTTTAATTATAAAATAAAAAAAATTATAATATTAATAATATTTATTAATTTATTTTATTTAAAATAAAGTCCGGTATTTTATATTATATTAATTAAAAAATTATTATAAAAAATTAATAAAGTAATTAATAAAATAATTAATAAATATTACGTAAATAATTGATAAAAAATTGACATGCGCACAAATTACCATATTTATGGGAAATTAATAAAGTAATTAATAAAGAATTGATATGCGCATAAACCACCACATTTATAGGAAATTAATAAGGTAATTGATAAAGAATTAACAGGCGTATAAACTATTACATTTATGAGAAATTAATAAGGTAATTGATAAGGAATTGACAGGCGTACAAACTACCACATCTGTGAGAAATTGATAAGGTAATTGATAAGGAATTGAGAGGCGCATAAGCCACTACATTCGTGGGAAATTGATGAGGTAATTAAAAAATTAAAACGCGTACCGACCAATAAAATACCGGACTTCGTCCTGGTCCTGGCGCTTTATTTAAAGTGACTATAATATAAAAATTACATGAAAAAATTTAGAAAAATTCAAAGAAAATTTAAAAAATATTTAAAAATTTAACAAAAATTAAATAAAATTAAACAAATGAAAATAATTAAATAAAAATTAAAAGTAAAAAATTAAAAAAATTAAAAAAATTAAAAAAATTAAAAAAATTAAAAAAAATTAAAAAATTAAAAAAAATTAAAAATATAAAAAACATTTAAAATAAAAAACATTTAAAAAAAACAATTAAAATAATTAAAATAATTAAAAATATATATAAAATAAATCATAAATAATAAAAAATAATAAAAAATAATAAAAAATTAAATAAATTAAATAAATTAAATAAATTAAATAAATTAAATAAATTAAATAAATTAAATAAATTAAATAAATTAAATAAATTAAATAA